AACAATACCACTCGACGTTCTACACCTACGTTCACACCTACGCACTGCCGTGCTTACACCTCTTGCACTACTCACCAACTACACACAACCACATGACATCATCTACTCACTCCAGTACTACCATCCATCATATAAATACAACCTCCTCTCAGCAATCAACCTCTTCGTCACCATCTGGCTACTCGCCATCACCTACCTAACATACGCACTAACAATACCACTCGACGTTCTACACCTACGGTCACATCTACGCACCATCTACTACCACTAGTACTACTTACCAACTACACACAACCACATGACATCACATACTTCAAACCGTAATCTAATACTCACTCTATTCGACAACTCACCTACTCACTCCACTACCCACTACTCCACCTCACCTTCTGCCTACTTGCCATCACCTACCTAATATACTCTCTCACAATACCACTCGACGTTCTACACCTACGATCACACCTACGCACTGCCGTGCTCATACCACTGCATCTACTCACCAACTACACACAACCACATGACATCACCTACTCACTCCACTAGTACCATCCATCATATAACTACAACCTCCTATCAGCCATCAACCTCTTCGTCACCTTCTGGCTACTCGCCATTACCTACTTCCTCTACGCACTACTCTTCTCACTGGACCTACTCCACATCCTCTCGCACTGGCGTCTCGCCTACACTCATCACCTACTACCACTGCATCTACTCGCCCACAAGATACCCGCACCTACTACATTGTACTTCAAACAGTAATGTAATACTCACTCTATTCGACACATCACCTACTCACTCCACTACCCACTATTCCACCTCACATTCTGGCTACTCGCCCTCACCTACCTAACATACTCTCTCACAATACCACTCGACGTTCTACACCTACGCACTGCCGTGCTATCACCACTAGTACTACTTACCAACTACACACAACCACATGATATCACATATTTCAAACCGTAATCTAATACTCACTCTATTCGACACATCACCTACTCACTCCACTACCCACTATTCCACNCCTTCTGGCTACTCGCCATCATCTACCTCTACTACACACAACTTTTCCCCCTGGACCTACTCCACATGCTTTCGCACTGGCGTCTCGCCTACACTCACCATCTACTACCACTGCATCTACTCGCCGACAACATACCCGCACCGACTACATTGTACTTCAAACCGTAATCTAATACTTACTCTATTCGACACATCACCTAGTCACTCCACTACCCACTATTTCACCTCACCTTCTGGCTACTCGCCATCACCTACCTAACATACTCACTTACAATACCACTCGACGTTCTACACCTACAATCACACCTACACACTGCCGTGCTATCACCACTGGTACTACTCACCAACTACACACAACCACATGACATCACATACTTCAAACCGTAATCTAACACTTACTCTATTCGACACCTCACCTAGTGACTCCACTACTACCATCCATCATATAACTACAACCTCCTCTCAGCAATCAACCTCCTCCTCTACTACCTACTCACCTTCTGGCTACTCGTCATCATCTACCTAACATACTCTCTCACAATACCACTCGACGTGCTACACCTACGTTCACACCTACACACTGCCGTGCTCACACCACTAGTACTACTCACCAACTACACACAACCACATGA